TATAATAATTTTGGCAGGTCGGTTGGCATTGATTTGACTCTTGATGATTTTCAGAAGGTTAGCGACGAGGTTCCTTTTATCGCAGATCTTAAGCCTAGTGGGAAATACGTCATGGAAGATCTTCACAAGGTATGCAATTGATGCTTTTGTTATATAATTGAACATTGCTTGTCTTATCAATTTGTCGCAGTCATATGATGTATATGCTCTTTTGCCGTTATTATACTTGCTTAGAATTCTTATTATTTTGACTTCTCTTTTGTAGATTGGAGGAACCCCTGCAGTTATCCGTTACCTTCTTGAGGAAGGCCTTTTAGACGGTGACTGTTTAACTGGTATGTTTACATGCCTTCGTGTTTTGTCTGTTAAGAACAGAAGGTTAATTTCCAGAAGATACACTTATCTCTAACATACTTATACCTCCTCTCTAGTCACGGGAAAAACCCTTGCTGAAAATGCAGAACTTGTCCCTCCTTTGTCCAAAGGGCAGGTACGAGTATGACGTATCTGTTGAGCTGTATCTTTTTCTAATAAATTGATCTCTTCACAAATTACAATTTTTCTGTGATGCATGATTCAGGAAATAATAAGGCCGCTAGAAAATCCCATCAAGAAGACGGGTCACATTCAAATATTATATGGAAACCTTGCACCACAGGGTTCTGTCGCTAAAATTACTGGAAAAGAAGGACTGTACTTTTCTGGTGAAATTTCATGCCCTGTTTTATTGAATTTCTCAAATATTTTATTTTCAAATTATATCTTCCCATATCACATTTTTTTATTAGTGCAAGTATTATTCAACAGGTCCTGCACTTGTGTTTGAAGGAGAGGAGGCGATGATTGCTGCTATATCAGAGGATCCTTCGAGTTTTAAGGTTTTTGTTTTCCTGTTTCACCTAAAACTCAGCATATAAGGACAATTCTAGCTGTTAGGTTGTCAAGATACTCAAGGCGGTTTGAAAGTATCAAGAATCACAATATCCCAAAGTTTTACTATTTCACGTGTGCTTGTCAACCTTTGGTATTGGATCGAAAATTTCACATTAATTTATTTTACAAGCTTCCTTTTGAGAAAAACAATTTAAACGTAAATCACTTCACTTAGAAGTTTGAAATTAGTTCTAACCAAAATCAATTTCACAAATCAAGTTTGCAGATGCACACTATCATTAGTCATAAAGGTTTACTCGTTATAGTTTTTTTTTTTTTAAATAAGTAATCATTGAAGAGAAATTGCATTTTTCAACGTTTTTCTTATTTGTATAATTTTTTTACTGAGCAACAACAACGACCAGGTTTGTTCCTTCTATTTTAACTGTTAATCTCAGTGATTTACCTTTGTTTCTATTTTTTTCAGGGTAAAGTGGTTGTGATCAGGGGAGAGGGACCCAAGGGTGGTCCAGGCATGCCTGAGATGTTAACACCAACAAGTGCAATAATGGGTGCAGGTCTCGGAAAGGTTTGTCTTTTATCCTTTTTTATTTTGTTTACTTAGTTTGTAATAGTGTCCAATATCACTATGGAATGTATTAACTGACATGTCGAGTTCCATCTTCACTGATACAAACTCAATTGACTTGAGCTTATTTTAAAATTTCTATTTAGCAAAACACGTGTACAGAGATTTTCCGGTTATTATTATTTTAGTAGAAACTGAAATGACTTATTTCAAAGCATTATGAATCATGATAATGAACCTATGCTGGATTGGTATTTCTTAAGCGTATTGTCTTTTAATATTGCAGGAAGTTGCATTATTGACTGATGGAAGATTTTCAGGAGGTTCACATGGATTTGTGGTTGGCCATATATGCCCTGAAGCACAGGTTAATTGAATAGTTTTTATAATCAGATGCATCGTGTGTGAACTGTGTTATCTTAAGTTGTTAGACAAATGCTTGACATAATTAGTCCCTACACGTAATTATAAGTAAAAGAATGTTTACCACCAGTAATAATTTGTGTGTATGCTAAAATCTGTTAACTTTGTTCAGCTCATAAAGAACCACCTGGTTTGGTTCGCCTCTCATAACCGTGAGTGGCTAAAATGGCTGATCTTGAGATTCTTAGCAGCAGTGTTATGACTGTAAACAAAATATCATATTATTAAGGGAAATTGTGAGGAAACGGAAGACACTGGAGAGAGAAAGAAATATTTCTGAGCAATGGCAACGATAGTATATTCTGCAGTGCTCTATTTTCAAGGGACCAGAGAAATGGCTTTGGCAATCTTTTGGAATGACTATTCACACTTTTGCAATTCATTCAGAGGAAAAAATTGTAGTGTGTTTGTGTATTTTGAAAAAGACTATACTTCTGAAACCATCTAGGCCTGCCTTTTGGTATTAAACTTTGTTCTTTGCAAACTCAGTTTAGTTCCAACATTCAAGCTATTTAGTTGTATTGGGTGTAATAGTAGTATGTCCGGTTTTAAATGTTGAAGATCATATTATAATGCTTTACTGTAATTATGTGCAATTTTACTTATGATGTTTTAATCAGGACTACAAAGGTAGAATGCTTTAGGAAACCTACGTAAGACTAAGAACATAAAACTTTTTCAGTTATTTTCTCTTAATAAAGAAATTCTTGAAAATTGTTTTTTTAGTGAACCGATAATAATTTTACTAGCTTTATTGATTTTATAGGAAGGTGGTCCAATTGGCTTGATTAAAAATGGAGACATAATCAACGTTGACGTCCAAAAAAGGAGAATTGATGTTTTGGTATCAGATGAGGAGATGGAGGCACGCAAAAAAAATTGGACTGCTCCTCCATATAAAGCTAACCAAGGAGCACTGTACAAGGTATGTGGCTTGAAACTCTTGGAAGGAAAAATGGTAGACGTAACTCTATGTAGGTCTTGATACATTTCAATCTATATCCATGAGTACTACTCTCTGGTCTTCCTATTTTCAGTTGTTACAATCTAGTTTTCTTGGTTGTGGGTACATTTATCCTGTGTCAGATTTTCCAAGTTTGTGCCGCTGCGGTCAAATACCGTTAAATTAACAATAAATCTAAGAACCTTCAAAGGACTAAAGAATAACAACTGAGAGATATTGGGATAGGAAATTACATTTTTTTTCCTTTGTTAATTAGATGATAAAAAGTGTATATGTTGTTTAGCTCTAGATTAATTTTAATATGCACATCGGCACATTTTATATTATGAAATATTATCTACACTTTTGTCAGTAATTTTTTCTTCCTAGTGTTTCTAATCCTATATTGTTTGTTCTGTCCCAGTATATTAAAAATGTGAAATCTGCTTCTAGTGGATGCGTGACGGATGAGTAGAAAGACATTTCGAGAGCAAAAAAGCTGATTGTATGCCTTGATAGCGGTTTAATGAGGTATTACAATTTTGGCTTACACGGTGCATGTACATGTAGCCCGATGTGTCTTGGATTTTTGTTATTTTTTGGCTATTATTATAGACTTGAATGGCACCACCTGTCTTTTCTCTCGTGCTTGATCTCATATATTTATTTTCTTTTCTTCAGTTATTAAATTTTCTATCAGTTAGAAGTGAAATTTTGTATCTTAAGCTTCCAGAACAGATTGGCTAAAGTTGAATTTGCAGTTGATTAATTAGATTTTCTAGAGCGACCTCTTTGTTGTTTATAGCCTTCCGACATAGCAACTGTTATTTTTAAATGATAGAAAATGGGAGTTTCATTGCATTGGCAACTACAAATGAGGTTTCAAAGTGCCATAACAGCTACGATGTGAAGCTTGATTAAATCAATGAAAATGGTTGAAAGTTTATGCTATTGTATCTGCAAGCTCGGTTGAAGCTGGCTGGCAAGTATTTAAGTTCAGCCTTGATAATTACATCTTAATTTCTTCAGCACCTAAGCGGGGTAGGGTACAACTCCAGTGGGTATTTTTCAGCAGCTTTGTTTCTGTCAAAACAAAAAAAATAGCCGTTGAAATAGAATGAAGTAGTGGCTAACAGGTTTTTTAGTCAATTTACCTACAAAGTGTAGTTTCGAATGGATTTCGACTGTTTCAAATTAACAAATTTTAACAATTTATTAAGCCCAAATTCACGGTTTTGAAGAAAATATCTGTTTAATAAATTTATCATGATCCATTGTAAAAGTAGAGGACAAAAAGTTCACGTTTGAAAATAAAGATAATAATATCTTTTCATATTTTTAACGGCGAAAAATGTTTAACCTAGTTTTTTTTGCATATTTCTCATTAAAAGAATTATAAAGAAATTATATTAAGATTTGTCATTCCATCATAAATAACCCTGCATTGAATTTGATTGGATGAGTATTTCATTTGTGTGTGTGTGTGTGTGTATATATATATATATATATATATATATATATATATCAGTGTACTCGTATTTTGATTTATATAATTTTTTTGTTAAAGTTTTGCATGATTTTTGATTTTTTTAATTTGCGTATCGCCTGATTTTAATTTTAAGAAATGAATAATGTTAACTAGCCATACTTGCTTTATTAAAGAGTAAATGTCTATTTTTCTTAAATATACGACGAATTTTTCAACTATAGGTTATTTTTTGACTTCGCTTACATCAACGTAAATTTCTTCGTTTGTGTTTAACTATCTTCAGAAAAATTAGGTCACTGATGGTTTTGTTTCAACAGATATCATTTACTTTCCTAAACATTGATTGTTTGTAAAATAGATAGAAGAACGTCATTTTATTAAATGAAAGTTACTTTTATAAGATAGTAATCGATATTATAAAAATTCATAGATAAAAATGAATCTCTTACAACTGTTTTACTAAACTTGCCGAAACAAGTGAAATTTATTTTATAATTTTGAAAGATTAAACCCTATTTTAATTAAGAACCCAAGTTTACCCTTTTCCCTTTCAGAGTACCGCCTGTATATGCCAGCTGTGTCCAACTCGTATCCACAAATATTGAGTCTGCATTTCATGGCCATCCTTTTTGACCAAACACCTATCATAAATATCATTAGTACTACAACTTCTCGATGTGATAAGCTTTGCATCGGTCTTCCTATAAAAGGGAAACTTAGCATTCTGTATAATATACATCGACACACCATCCATTATCATTGTTAGCAATGTCTTTCTCTTTTGCCATCCATTTCTTCCTAGTCTCAATATCCCTTTTCTCAATTTGCTCCTTATCTGCATCTCATGTTCCCAACACCAAACCACAACCCTTTATCCTTCCCATAAAGAAAGACCCTGCAACTAATCTGTTCTACACTTCAGTTGGCGTAGGAACTCCTAGACACAACTTTGATCTCACCATTGATCTTGCTGGAGAAAACCTATGGTATGACTGTAACACTCATTACAACTCTTCTTCCTACCGCCCTATAGCCTGTGGTTCCAAGCAATGCCCCGACGTTGGATGTGTTGGCTGCAATGGCCCCTTCAAACCAGGTTGCACAAACAACACATGTCCTGCTACCACAGTCAATCCACTAGCAAAATTCCTTTTCGGTGGTGGCTTAGCTGAGGATTTCATATTCCTTGTTCAACAGAAAGTGTCTGGCTTGCTTTCTAGCTGTATTGACACCGATTCATTCCCATCCTTCACCAATGACGAGTCACCTCTACATGGCTTACCCAAAAACAGCAGAGGAATTATAGGCCTTTCAAAGTCGCAGCTTGCATTACCAATTCAGCTTGCATCCGCTAATAAGCTTCCTTCCAAGTTTTCTCTCTGTTTACCCTCTTCAAACCACCAAGGTTTCACCAACTTGCTTGTTGGAGCTGGAGAATATCCTCTGGGAATATCCAAGTTTCTCCAAACCACCCCTCTCCTTGTGAACCCCATTTCCACAGGTCCTATATCTGTGGAAGGTGTTGCCTCCAAGGAATACTTCATTGACGTTAAAGCAGTTAAGATTGACGGCCATGTTGTGAACCTAAAGCCTTCCCTTTTGTCCATTGACAACAAGGGAAACGGGGGCACCAAGATCAGTACCATGAGTCCTTTCACCGAATTACAGACCTCTGTCTACAAGCCTTTCATACGAGATTTCCTCAAGAAAGCCTCGGACAGAAGATTAAAGAAAGTGGCAGCAGTGGCACCATTTGAGGCATGTTTTGATTCAACCAGCATTGGTAATTCTGCAACAGGACTAGTTGTGCCAACTATTGATCTAGTGCTGGAAGGGGGAGTACAGTGGAGTATTCATGGAGGCAATTCGATGGTTATGGCGAAGAAAAATGTTGCATGTCTGGCATTTGTTGATGGAGGGACAGAACCTGTAATGTCTTTTGTGAAAGCTTCAATTGTTGTCGGTGGATATCAGTTGCAGGATAACTATGTGGTGTTTGACGTGGCTTCCTCCAAATTAAGCTTCAGTTCTTCGCTTTTGCTCCACAATGCCACGTGTTCTCACTCTTGAATATGATGTGCTTGTGACGCGTTGAACTTACGTTGAAGAATATGTAGTAGCTTCTATCTTTCAACGTTTCGAGGGTAATTGATGAATAAATGTTTTCTTTGTTGTAAATGGAGACACACCGTAGTGTTTCACGTGTGCCGTTTATTTAATGATAGATAACTTCTGTAATATGTATCTGTATGTGTCTATATATTATTTACTTAGTTTTATATTATAAAGAATTTGAAAAAGTAAACAATAAAAACATATATTTAGTCAAAAATTCAAATCTTATTTTTTCTTTTTGTTAGAAGTGAACTTCACAAGATCAAATCTTGTTTTTCGTTTTTATATTATAAGATTCTTACTCACTTATAAACTATATACAAAATCATCTTACCCAATATAAATGAGACTTCTAACATATTTTTTCCCAAAAAAAAATACTTTCTCAAAATTAAACTGATTTATTAAGTGTGTGAGTCTCCTGGATTTTATCTTTTTTCCATGTAATGAATATAAAGAGTTCACGAATTCGAAATAAAAGGTGAGAATTTCTTAGACTTTTGATCTTTGTATTTTAAAAAATCTGTAAATGTGGTTTTTACTTTTTTAATTTTAGTTTCTTAATTTTTAATTTTCCAGTAATTCGATCGGTATTTTTCTATATAAGTTTTTATTCTTTGATTTTTAATTTTAATGGTTAAAGAAAATCATATTGAATAGCTTATCTGTAAAAAAGTTACTATAATTTTATTGTGTCACTTTAAATGTAAAAAAAAAAACCCTTTCGAGTAGTTGAATAAACTCTTAAGAATTTTTAATAATTAAAGGATCAAAATTATCTAAAAAATTTAAGAACCAAAATCACATATAATTAAAAATGAGAACTACAAATAAAAGAAAGAGAATTAAATAAGATAGTCACCAAATTTGTAAAATATAAATATTAAAGTTATAATTAAATCAAAATATCTACTAAAAATTGAGAATATATACGAAAAATTAACACAAGCAGTACATATTTTAACGAGAAATAATTTCCTAAACAATGAAAGCCAAACAGTGCAACAAATGTATCAATTGTTGTGAATACTTTTAAGAACATGTGATTTAGATCATATTTGACAATCTCTTCTCGTACTTGAGATAGTATTCCACTAATCATATTAAGTTGTTTCTTGATACTTTAGTCTGATGTTTGTTCCTGGATTCTTCTAATAGGACTTGCTTAATTTTTTAATTTAAGTTAGAATACTTAATTTAAGATTCGAAGACGAACACAAAATTTATCCATCAATCGTTGAATTAACTTTATAAATATATTTAACTCACCGTTTCTTTAAGTGAATATTAATTAATGATTATTATTTTCAATAAATAAGTATTTGAAAAGTCTTAAATAGCTTGAAATCTTAAATCTCAACACTTGAACTTTTAATATGTTTTAAAAAGCGTAAATGAAGTAAAAAGTGGTTAAAAATTTGGAAAGTAAATATTAAAGAGAAATATAAATTAAAGTAGTATGCATTTAAAAAATAATTATTACAAAAAAATAAAATTCCAAAAAACATAAACTGACGAAAAAATAAATGAACTAAAATAATAAAAAATGTAAGAAAATGAATTATTAATGATATAACAAAAATTAATAAAAAATCAATTAAAACCGTGATCGAAATCGTTATAATGTCTACTACCGTTGTTGTCATTGTGTTGTTTGCGGTGGTTTAGTAAGTGTTTTGCTGTTTGCGTGTTTTAGTTAGATAGTATTTTATTGGAAATACAATTTGTCATGTTCATTTTAAACACAAAATCACTTATTTATATGTTATTTATTTATTTTTCTATTATTGAATGAGTAACGTGATTATTAGATTACTCTTATTAATTTATGTTATAAATTAAGAAATGTTATCATTGAACATATATTTTAAGATGTGGAGATAACTAATTAAGATGACATACAAGTCACGCCATTTAATAAATAGCAAAATTAAATGAAAAAATAATCAGAAAATATAATAGTTTTGAGTATTTGGTATCAATAAAATTTAATAAAAAAAGTCAATAAAAATGCTCAAATCTATATTTGATGTAATTTAATAAACTTTTATAAATGTCTACTAAATATTTGAGTGTAATTAGCATTTCATAAATACGTATTAAATTTGAAATTAATTAGTATCTCTATCCTCCTCAAGATCATAAATAAAGCGGTAATAGCTGGCTGTGTCAGAAACCGATAGGAGCACCCAGTATTTCAAAACATTGAATTTTTCTATATTCAATTTGTCCTATTTTGACTTTGACAATAGTACTTACAAGTTACAAGTACTACGAATGCAAATCTTAGAAGGATGTTTCTTCCTAAAACCACCTTTCCTTTTTTAGAATGGATTATTTTTAAATGTACATGACAAAAACTTGGAAAAAAAAATAAAAAGCCTCGCGTTATTTAAAAATTAAGGATACAATTATCTCACAATAATTTTTGTTACATAAAAGTATAAACAAATCCAACGAATCTATTACTATTCTATTAGAGTGTAACGGAGCTATAACATTTTTAAAAAATATGCATTCGAATTCAGTTAAAAATTTAATTTCAGAATGAATTAGAAAAAAAAACATTTATTGTAACTTTTGAAAAGAAAACTATTTATTATAATTATTTTAGTTAACTGAAATTTGAGACGAATTTTAGTTGATTAAAAAAATAAAATAATTCAAACATGTTAAGACAATGTTTGAGTATTACGAACAAAATCAAAAGCATGTATCTTTTCCCTTTCAGAGATACCACCTATGACATATGTAGTCTGCATAACTTGGCCATTCGTTTATGACGAAAATCTAAAGACTAGTACGATGAACAACACATAATATTTTCTTATCCCCTTCATCCCTCTTCCTATAAAAGGAAAACTCAGCATTCTGGATCACACACACCGACACCATTCATTATCACTGTCTTAGCAATGGCTTCCTCTTTTCCCATCCATTTCTTCCTAATCTCAATACCCCTTTTCTCAGTTTGTTGCTTATCTGCAAAATCATGCTCCCAACACCAAACCACACCCCTTTATCCTTCCCATTAAGAAAGACCCTGCAACTAATCTGTTCTACACTTCAGTTGGCGTAGGAACTCCTAGGCACAACTTTGATCTCACCATTGATCTTGCTGGAGAAAACCTATGGTATGACTGTAACACTCATTACAACTCTTCTTCCTACCGCCCTATAGCTTGTGGCTCAAAGCAATGCCCCGATGTTGCATGTCTTGGCTGCAATGGCCCCTTCAAACCAGGTTGCACAAACAACACATGTCCTGCTAACACAGTCAATCCATTGGCAAAATACCTTTTCGGTGGTGGTTTAGCCAAGGATTTCATATTCATTGATCAACACAAAGTGTCTGACTTGCTTTCTAGCTGTGTTGACACCGATGGATACCCATCCTTCACCAATGACGAGTCACCTCTAAATGGCTTACCCAAAAACAGCAGAGGAATTATAGGCCTTTCAAAGTCGCAGCTTGCATTACCAATTCAGCTTGCATCTGCTAATAAGCTTCCTTCCAAGTTTTCTCTCTGTTTACCCTCTTCAAACCACCAAGGTTTCACCAACTTGCTTGTTGGAGCTGGAGAATATCCTCTGGGAATATCCAAGTTTCTCCAAACCACCCCTCTCATTGTGAACCCCATTTCCACAGGTCCTATATCTGTGGAAGGTGTTGCCTCCAAGGAATACTTCATTGACGTTAAAGCAGTTAAGATTGACGGCCATGTTGTGAACCTAAAACCTTCCCTTTTGTCTATTGACAACAAGGGAAATGGGGGCACCAAGATCAGTACCATGAGTCCTTTCACCGAATTACAAACCTCTGTCTACAAGCCTTTCATACGAGATTTCCTCAAGAAAGCCTCGGACAGAAGATTAAAGAAAGTGGCAGCAGTGGCACCATTTGAGGCATGTTTTGATTCAACCAGAATTGGTAGTTCTGCAACAGGACTAGTTGTGCCAACTATTGATCTGGTGCTGCAAGGGGGAGTGCAGTGGAGTATTCATGCGACGAATTCCATGGTTATGGCGAAGAAAAATGTTGCATGTCTGGCGGTTGTTGATGGAGGGACAAAGCCTCGAATGTCTGTTGTGAAAGCTTCAATTGTTATCGGTGGATATCAGTTGCAGAACAACCATTTGGTGTTTGACGTGGCTTCCTCTAAATTAAGCTTCAGTTCATCGCTTTTGCTCCACAATGCCACGTGCTCTCACTCTTGAATCACACGTGCTTATGACGCGTTGAAAAACATGTCATAGATTTTCGCTTTTGATTTTTAGGAGAATAAAATAATAAATTTGTTTGCTTTGTAGTTTGTACACAGAAACACGTTGGTGTTTCTTGTGTGTCATCTCCTTTATACTGTACAACTTTCTGAATTATGTAATATACTAATATGTTTTATTTCGGTACTAGTGAAAACAACTTTTTTTATGATAATAAAAATAACAAAGTTATAAAAAGTTAAAATTTAAAGAAAAAAACCCACTTATGTCTCTATTCTTTGTCTTCTTTTTTTTTAGTATAATGATGTGCAAGTTTAGTTTACAAAATAATGGTATGTTCCATTATTCAGCAAGTTGAAATTTGGGCAGAATAGATTAACAATGAAAAACCAAAGAATAATTGTCTTACTCATACGAAATTATGGCCAACCCAACAAGTGGAACATTGACACCATTAAGCCAGCCATCCTCTTTGACGAAGCACCACTAATTAATAACATGGTCATGGAGTCATGATATGATGACTTTGAGTAAATGCAATGGGCCCTGGGCATTGCTACAATAGAAGAACATAGCATTTAGTATCTACAACACTGTCCTGCTTCTTTTTAATATAATTTAAATTTATATTCTAATTAAATTAACTCTATATTCATTTGGATAAAAGGGAACCTATTATATTTCATAAATTTAAATTAAGTTTTATACTTCCTTTGTTTTAATTAACCAGTAAGAGTAATTCTTAACATTAAATTATTTATTTGACTTAAAAATAAGATTTGCAGGAGACTTGTTTTTTTGGAAATACTTTTTACTAATATTTTTAACAAATTCTTTTT